TTAAAGTCTATGTATCACCCAATTGAGTCGCATTAATACCTTATTTTCCAGTTTCGGAAGTGTTCGAAGAAAGTTCACGAGAACGACGCCTTAGATCCAGATCCAAATCCATACGACATCTGCTCGATGTTCTGCACATCAGCGAGAGGATACCAGTAAGCACATGCGCCGTGTTCTATATTCTTAACTGTACAGTGTTCCTGGTGATAGTAAAAAGCATTATTTGTCGAGTTCCCATGGGGGTTTTCTCACGTGGTTTCGGATCCCAGCCCCATCGTCATAATGCGCCTACTTCTCAGGGGCTGTGGCTAATCAGATTCATTTGGTTGTGTCTTGAGTACCAGAAGTCAGACAACCGCATAAGACCATATTGGCGAATCGAATACAATACAGGACCAATGTGTGAAGAAACAAAAAAAAACACCACCATCAGTCAAACCATAAATGTATACAAGCTCTATTGTATAGGATCTCGAAAGGCCGAGGGGTATGGGTATTGTGAAACAAGCAACCGGAACAAATGTTTCTAAAACGCAAAATACACTGGCCTGATTGCAGGAAGGGGTTGTTCTGATAGAACACACAGCTGCTTACGGCAACTTGTTCATTTCTATGCGCACTTAACTTTGAACTGTGTGGGATTTTGTTTTCCATGCGCAGGGTTACAAGATTCGGCCCGACTCAGTGGCGCCACCTTGCTTTAGGTGTAGGTTTACCATGAACCCTAACATTATTAACGGGGTGAGGGAACACGTCACTGCGCCCCTGTCGCGAATAGCAGTAGAGGTTGGCATTGCAAGGTTCATTCCTGAGGATTGACACCTAAACAACGTGAGTGTATTATCTGAAAGTGTGTACTTTCATTATCCGTTGTGGATTTCATGCACCCTGAGCAGCGGACCGAAGGTTGCTCCCATGTAAACTTACCTCGCTAATTATCAGTCCCATCGATTGCTTTACGATCATCGGGATTTGTTCTCATCTAATTCAGAGACATCTAAAACGGGTGCACATTTAAAGACACAACAATAAGATAGACCACAGCCACGATCGTGAGGTTGGGCTATGGTGCAACCGCTAGCACCGAGTATACATGCGTTTGAGTTGATTTCGCCGCTATGCTCCAATAATTCCCATGCAGATTGTCCATTGTTAACCGCTTTTAGTCTGATCCGAAACTTTCGCATGAAAAATGGAAGCTGGACTCGCTGTACACTGCAACTTCAAAGGTGCGCGATTGGCTGGAGAAACGATTTTACCAAATGCAAGTAAGAGACCATGTGATGTAACACTGCATTCGCTACAGCGTTTTTGCCAATATTGTTTTTGTACAAACATGCCAATGCAGAGATTGGTATTTCAAACTGAATTACGTGTACTGAAACTAACTACCTCACCAATTGACTTTAAAAACCGCCTCAAAAACATATGCAGACCGTTTGATCCACGATGGTATGCATTGGTATTCCTTGCTTGCCAGAAATCATGATGCATTCCGCTGTGACAATCCCAAAATAATATAGTTTATCAGGGCAAGTGTTGTACTATGCTGTAACCAGTACGCCAGAGCGTTTCATTGTACTGTTTGTAGGAAAGCTGGCACTAGCATAGATATCCATGGAGGTAAAACCTTACTGATTTACAAACAAGGTAAGTGATGTCTGCTCCGGTTCATACTGTGTTATTGTGTTTGACGCTTGGTGCGTGCGTGCGCACGCTTCGCTTTGTGCTCCGTATCCAGCGCTTCTAATAAAGGATAGTGCCAAGAAGCCTCTGGATATTAAGTACTTGTTTATAGACGGATTTGATACCCCGCAGTGCACGTGATGTATTCCCTCGAATGAACCTGTCCGTTCACTAGTAAATACGTCAGTGGTATTATCGGGATGGTGACTGAGAGAAGCAAACTGGCCGATGGTGTCAGCGTGCCCATCGTCGTGGTAATAGTTATAAGACTGCTCGCCTTAGGACAGTAGTTGTCAGACCATTGGTTAAAATTACCTCATTCAACTTACGGTAGCTTCCCGAGCATATGGAAGTTTTTTCGGGTTGGAAGTCATCCGATGAGGTTGCAAAACACTGTTCTCAGCCGTAAATCAAGAAAGAAGATGAATCATTAGTAAATAGTAGCAACCACTAATCAGTGCATCGTTATTGTCCGGTCTAAGCGATATATTCCCTTTCAGTCAAGGCTTTGGGAATGTGACCCAGTGACAAGTGCGACTTTAGGAGACCACAGTATGATAAAGAGTAGAGAGATTGATATACGAGATTCAACTTACGTTTGGTTGACAACTATTGTTGGATACGTGTAACGCTGGTGATGGCAGTTAGAGTGATGCTTGAAACCGGAATATTATTGAGGGTAGAGCAAAGAGTTTGATCGATATTGACAAGTTAGGACACTCGGCCGATAATGCAAAAGACAATGAACTCAAGACAACTAGAAGCCTTAACCGCCCAATGATGCTCAAGCGAAAGTGGTAGCATCGTTCAAGTATGGAAGGTTCCTCATGGTTATCACCTTAGCATAGAACACTCACTGCCCACATGAACTACAGATTATGCCACACTACAGTGTCGTTCCGCAGGTAGATGAACGACAGACACAACAACAGGCGCTCACATCTAGCATAGTTGCGCCAAACATGGCAGTATCACAGTCACATACGATACGACCTCGTCGGACAAAGCAGAGGAAAACACGCTCACATCACTGGAAATGACCTCATGATGGCTTCAAGATGATCTAGACTACGCAGAGCTCGCAAAGCAACTACAGCGTTTTATAGGATTCTTCTATTCGCATTAGCTTGCCTATAATGTTACTTGATATCCTTCGACAATGGTGAACAGCGTTCAGCTGATTGTTACGACTGCTGGTTGCGCCTAGGTCATACAAATTGACACTCAACGCGATTGTACCATCACTCAAATAACTTGGTACGCGTCCAGTGCGAGTATAATTTTTTTGGCGCCTGGTGAATAGCTTACACTCCAACTTGTCATATTTTCATCACCAAAAGATTGCTTTAGACCACTCCCAGTGGAAATTATAAGTCCCGGTGTGATAGGTCGAAGGTGGCTAGTGTTGCATCTCTGGTGAACTGCTTGCACACGCCCAGAGCCTAAGAGCTTTGTCACGAGTCGGAATAGAACTATAGCTGGCTCAACAGAAAGATGGTTTTTGAAGGAAATTAAAGGATAAGATATAATAATAATAATAATAATAATAATAATAATAAGGGTCAGCGGAAACCGGTTCCGGATTTGCCTGTCACTATGGCCTCCATAGGACAGCTACAGGACGCCTGCACCTAAAAGGGGTTCCTGATTGGCTTTCGCTTCCCCACCCACATCAAACAAACCGTATCCATTGGGAACCTGAAGAAATAAGACAGGGAGGCATTCAGATAGGAGCCACGGTTCATCAACGGAACCGGCACAAAATCCTTCAACATGCACAGTAGCAGTTTTTCTGTCTAACTACGTAGGGAATTATGCATATCAGGCGTACACAAGCTGGTGGCTGGACCGTAGTGCGCTCCACATTGGATGCATAGAACACCTTATTGAGCTTACCACGGCCACGAGGGCCGTGCACCTTGTGCTTCCAGCAACGATTCACCGTCTCCTGTGGGCAAGTAATCGAGGTGGAGAGTGTTAAACAGGTAGGCACCTCGTCAGCCTTTAGATCAAGCGTAGCCACACCGTGCATTTCAAACAACCAACACAGAATTTGCAGCAAAATAAACACCCAACATTGACACGGAATATGCAGCAGAATAACAGAACTGAACAAATTAAATAAAGAGAAATATTTTATCTCCAGGTTAAGAAGATATAGTTTGGGTGTAAGTCAGTGTAACTCAACTGCGGTGAAGGAGCATGATATTCGCAACATAAACCTCAGCATAAGGCACAATAATAATAATAATAATACGTATCTTTCACGATTGTACGAAAAGCTGCCCCTTAATATGGGATGGATCATGAATACAGGATCATGCTCATGCACGAGTGAGATATGTATTCTGGGGCGCGTGACTTTAAAACATTTTGAATCATATAAGTTTTGCTGCTGCTGAGCGTTGTGTAACATTTTTTCACACTAGTTAGACATTTCTTGGTCCGTCCTGGAAGAACTAATTTAGTGATTTACCGCATGGAAACATGGTCATTCTCGAGTTGTGGCCCAAGAAATTCCAAAGTTGAATACCGCATATTTCTTCATTTGTGTAAGACCTGAAAGTGGTTGGTAGGCTAATCCAAACGACAGCGTCTCTAAAGTGGAAGAAGTTGGATAGAATAGCTGTCCTGGTTCCTAGCACTGTTAGTTTCTCAGTCTTACTACGTAGTTTTTGTGTGAAGTTATTTTGCAATTTTAGTCTGCATAGATTAGAGTGTCCTTTGGTTCATGTGATTGTGTATCAGTATCATATTATGTTTCAGTTGTCGCAACTAAAGGGGCTGGAGCTTAAGCTGCTGACAATGCTCCTGATAGCACAAAGTGGACGATTTACTGAACAAGCGCTTAGTGAATGATCTTTGCGGGTTTTGCATAGCTTTCCTGTCACCCATATTCAGTTCCCATAAATGGTGCTGCAGCATTCAAAGACAAGAAGTGCGCGCATATTTAAAAGCTCGACTCTGGCAGGGATTTTATGGCCTACATTAGCAGTAGATTGTTTGGCACGTGCTATTTGTTACTCAACTTGATCCGAGAGATTGAATTTTTAAGAATATCGTATGCGTTGAGCACAGTTAGACAGTTTCCCATAGATGCCTTCCCTGTTCAGTTTAATTAACTCTTGACCCTCTCAGACCTGAGACCCTGAACCCAACTGTCCCCAATACATGGGCGCCTGAGCATTAAAGAGAAAAAACCAGCATGATATATATAAAAACGTTAGTCCCTTGCAAACCAGTGGTTAGATTAAGGTGGAAGTTAGAAATTGTATAGAAAATAGGCACTAGGCAAAGTAGCGAAAATTTGGCACAGCCTTATAGCAGCGAAATCGAAAATTACAGAAATATTGGTACATCGGTCTGGTAAGGTTAAAGGATCAAACATCCGTATGAAAATGTATGATTTTCTAGCCGAGAACTTGATCCTCCATGAGTCGCACCATTTCTCAGGTGCACTGATAACTTCTTGAATCGACAACAATGTGTTTTGCAGTTCGCCCCGTCGAAATTTATAAACAATCTTAACGTCATCGGCGAACCAAATTTGTTTGCTATGTTTGATGAACATTGTGACATCGTTAATAAAGAGTAGAAAAAGAGTAAGACCAATACACTCTTTTGGATGACACCACTAGTGATTGGAGGTGGGAAGAGTTATGACTACCATTTAGAATGTCAACCAACCCAGTGGTGGGTCTCTGACCCCAAATGACTCGAACATTTCAGTAGCCGCTTGTGAGGTACCCGGTCGAATACTTTTGCATATTCAGGAATAATATTTTAACTACATAATATCGTGCAGTTCAACAGAATTAAAATGTTTATACACCTCCAGCCCAAGTTTATTGGGCCTGTACTGTATCGCTAATGAAGTTCCATTAAAATGCAGTAAATTTCGCACTTGGCCCAAGCAGCATTCATATGCATTCGGTCGGATGACGCTCATTTGATCGGTTCCTCTAAAAGATAAGAAATAGCAAACCTCCAAGTGTGACCTTATCTTCACGCTACGAATTTATCCGCATCTGAATTACGACGCAGAATGCGCTATCGGCAGAAGAACGGCAGGATGAACTACTCTATCACAAGCTTGATTCAACTACGGTAGGCAACTGAGGCAATAATTGGTCACAATACAACTACAGACATCATCGAAAGCTGGAGCCCCAGTGGTGAAAGCTCGCGTCAACCTGAACGATATTGTAATTCGATGGCTAACAGGTACCCCAATGTGAAACACAATGTCGAAGAAGGTATTGTTCACAAGCGTACTTCTTTCTTCAGCGTCCAGAATGATATGACCGTTCACTAAGCATGGTCAGCGATAGAGTTTGATGTGTTGATTAACAGTCACCGCGACGAGACTGGACCTTAACGTGGTACGATGGTTTGTGTGCCTCAGTGATCCAATGAGCTACGCTGGTTGGTGCTGTTTCCACCTTCAGAGCCACTCATACCAGATTAGCCAATGGTTAGAGGCTAGACAAACCCAATCTCCTGGTCATCCAGATTGGTGGTTGGAGGGTGGGTGGCTCCTTACTCCATAAAGCGGAGTCAGTGTAGTCCAGTGCCAAAACCCCGCTGTCTTGCAGTAAGTTTTTTGAACCAAAAACTCCGGTTGATAACTCTAATCGTTTTCCTGTTTGGGTCTGGCATAGTTGAAATGCAGGGTTGATCGTGCACGCGCGTCTGTCCTATCGGTGCGTGCTGTTCGTCCGTGGTAAGTAGCTATGCATATTCTACTGGCATTTCGGTTGATAATGAACGATGTTTCTTCAGTATATTAGCGTATATTTCGTTGTTTTCGACCCTTACTTAATCTCAATCCCATGTCTATTCCAATATAGGAGGCCTTTGTGAAGGAACGTGATTTCCTGAAATGTGTACTGGATCTGTGTGATCCAACTGGACATATTTCAATTCATTCTGGGATCGTATGCAGCAGCTCTTCGGATAATGCTTTACCGATGGAAGAGATGAAACTACAACTCTCCGTCATGGACAGGACTCTAAACTACCTATCCCAAGTGACCGTGAGTGCCAAGTGATCCTTCGAGTAATGCGCACACCTAGCTACCGCTACTCACCTACACAATACGTGGTAACAGGCATTCAAACTTAACGGTGAACTTTAATCAGTCCGTGCGGCGTTGCAGGCAGATAGGGACGATGAGTTACCTTGGGTAGACAAGCAAATGCCTTGTATGTCTTGGTGAACGACTAATGGCGAGAGTTCCTTGTAATAAATTCACTATATACAATGTTCCTAACAGAGGAAACAGTGTGAGTACTAGAGAGTAGTAGGGGGAGTTATTGTTTTGTTGAAGCGTACACGAAGCTAGATAGCCACTACACGTTTACGAAGTCGTGGCTCTGGGGGCCAGCTTTATCCTCTGCATCTTCATACCATGCATGGCGGTGGATTATGAGTCGTGCTATATCTCAGTTAGATATCAGTCATGACAGTCAGCCGTCGCCAATCATGGTTAAGTGGCACTAGTCGTTGACCTGCAAGAGTAAGGTCGTGAGCTCGAATCAGAGAAAATTTGCGGATGCGCGCTACTGACGAGTCCCAGTAGGACGAAACGGTGCTTTCTTGGACATGTAGTGGCTGGTTAGCTGAGTCTAGCTGCAACAAATCACAAAAGCGTGATTACTGTCGTGCAATGAACGTATAATATTCACTAGTTAGCGCTAACACTGCATAGAAGTTCCTGATTGGCCCTAAAGACTCAGTGGGGGAAGACATTCCTAGAGCTGAAATGACTGTCGTAGGTGGCTAACTTTGCGTATCATCTAGCACAAGGCATTACGCATAGCCTTAGGCTGTGGCACTTCTGAAATAACCATCACATGGGTGTTGTGGTGACCTGTGGTGAGTCTGCAACATCTACTCTCCCAATCTATTGTGGCCTTGGATATATTTATCCGGTCCACTTGTTTGGCGTCAGTTGTTGGAGCACCGCCACACATATTGGCGGCCCACCCTAGTCGTGTTCCTCGACATCAAAGGTGCCTTTGATTCGGTTGATCGATGTGCCCTTTGGAATTGTCTACTCAGGAAAGGTGTGCCCGAGAAATATGTAAATATTATCCAAGCATTATATGCGCGTAGCACGGGCAGAGTGAGGGCTTACGGCAAGCTGTCGCCACCCTTTAATATCTCCAGCGGTGTGAGACAAGGATGCCCGCTGTCACCTTTCCTCTTCAACTTCGCTATTGACGAAGTCATGGAGTTTGCATTTACAGGACATGACTTGGAAGGTGTGGAGCTACTCCCAGGAGAATGACTTCTTGACCTGGAGTATGCAGACGACATTGCCCTCATCTGTGACAGCTCCCAGACGTGCCAATCCGCACTGGACAGATTAGCACTGGCTGTCAGCCGCTTTGGGCTTTGCTTTGCACCATCGAAGTGCAAAGCGCTCCTCCAAGATTGGCAGGGATCGCCTCTTGCGCTGACCCTTGGTGGGGATCAGCTGGAAGTCGTTCAGAAATTCAATTACCTGGGGAGTTATATCAGCGCCCTTGGGATCGAAGATGAGATCACGAACCGTATAGCGAAAGCTCGAAGTGCTTTTGCTAACCTTCGCCACCTTTGGCGGCGGCGCGACATCACTCTCGCCCTGAAGGGTAGAGTGTACAATGCGGCGGTACGTTCGACCTTATTGTACGGTTGCGAAACCTGGCCCATAAGATCGGCGGACATGAAGAGGCTAGTTACGTTCGACCATCGGTGCCTTCGCAGTTTGGCTCACATATGGTGGGAACACCGCGTGAGTAACGAGCGTGTTCGACGCATTGTTTACGGCCCAGGAAAAGGATCTGAACCGCTCAGCACCGTTATTTCCCGCACCAGGCTCCGATGGCTCGGCCACGTGTTACGCATGCCAGCTCACCGACTCCCTCGACGTGCGTTGTTTGCTCACCGGGGATGTGGGTGGAAGAAGAGGAGAGGTGGCCAAGCGATGACTTGGTCCAGGGGAATGAAGTCCCTCACCTCGGAGCTAGCCTCGGTTGGAGCTTCACGGCTCCCTGGTTGGGGTCCAAAAGACGGTGAACACGTTTGGCTGGATACACTTGCTGACATGGCAAGGAGCCGACCTCAGTGGCGTTCCTGCTGTGAGTTTCTTTGTCCCTCCCCATCCCTTTTAGCCTCCCCATCCATCTGCGATCTCATTTCCTAGGGTAAAACATTTTTTTTTCTTTTTGCCTAGTAGCTAGCTGGAAGCTTACCGGAACGATGCCTATCCGTTGCTGGTAGCTCAGCTGGCATGCAACTGTTGTATCTACTTCTCCTTTGTGTATTGTATTGTGTGTATGTATGTATTTCCTTCATGTATTGCGGCACAATAGCGGAGGTGTTTTTCCCACCTCTAGCTGATGTGTATAATGATGATGATGATGTCCACTTGTTTGATTGATGGTAAATTCCCTTTACCTGGTTCGGTCTTGTGCATTGCGTTCTACGTTTCCTGTCTCTCTCTCTTGCTGAGCTACCCTGCTTTCTTCGTAGGCCTTTACAACGCACGTTGGGTAAAGCGACCTCACTCTTCTCCATATTTCATATTTTTCACGTTTCTACTGTATCATTGTTGATGACTAATAGTCGAGTGACACCTTGGTTTCACCTTGGTTTCACAAAAACGTCAAAAGCGATGCTCTTTTCAACCTCTAATCCTGCCATCCTGTTATCATGCCATAGTCGTGCAAAGCCTTATCGGTGACAGCCTAATCATGTGGCAATTAAATCCGTTCCTCCCAGCAGATACTGTCACCACGTCACTGACTGCGTTATCCTCTCAGTGATATCACTATCGGGTTTTGCCTCAGTTACCCTACCAATCACGTCTACCATCAGCACGTAGTAATTCCGACAGCGCCCGATCAGGAGGCTAATATTGTTACAAATACAAAGGTTTGCAGCCCATGTGCGGCATTCACTTAGCGTCGGTAAGTGCTTTGCTGAAGGTCTCCGTCCTTTTTTCGAGTGGAGTCACGGGTAGTCGTGCGGTGTTCGTGTCGGTATAGCAAGGTGGAAACCATTTGGGGAGTAACACACGACATATTAATGCAAATTCGATCAGATACTCTCCCTCACGGAGCACAGTTCACAAGAGCCGAATGTTTCGAGCCGATTAAATGGTTGTACTAAGCCTAGATAATGCAACGAAAGCTACGACGGTTACAAGAGCGCCTAAAGCTTGAAAACGAATTATGCTTAGGTATTAGCGAGAACGATCATTCCAGATTGCTTGTCACAAAACCTTAAATGTGAAACATTTATTTTCTATCCTAGAAACGAGTCATTTTGGAGTACACGTTGTGTGGATGGATTGCGACACGCAAACTCAATGTGGACAGTGGTTCGCAATGAACGGGACCTTGGTCCAATTCGATCACTGGGACCGTAACTGATGAAACAATGAATACTGGATTAGAGGTAGTTCGATGTTTCTCCTCCCAATACTATAACTCCATAACCGGACTGCGTGTCGCAATCCAACCATACAACGGAGACTCCAAACCTAAATTTGAATTCCTTACCACTGTGCAAAGCGTTGCTCACGGATTTTAGAGCCATATTGATCAGCCTTTAACTCTCAGTCCCCGAGTTCCACTCCAGTTCAGGCTGTCTCCATCTGATGAGTGCAAACGAAGATGAAACCGGTTATGGGGTGCCAGTATTGGAACGAGCAACTCCGAACCACCTCCAATTAGGATACGGTCCTTGTAATCATAATGACCGATGTCTACTTCAAAGTGAACCGAGGTCTGAATTGAGATTCCGTGTCGCAATACGAGCGCACAGCGCGTACTCCAAATCCAACCATGAATATTGCACGTTGTATATTTCTCGCCGGTGTAATAAGCTGTTCCCTAAAGGAGACAGATTAAAAGGTTCTACAGTTATTTTCTTACCATCACATAATAACAAAATATTGTTACAAAGTTCATGCTTGTGTGAGTGGCAAAGAAATCCGAATTAATGGCTGGTTGTTCGACCTAATGATGAATCAATGCTAATCATAAACACATGGCTGATGTTCTAGGCGAGAAAAGTGCTGTGCGCCATATAGTGAGATGCGGATATTCATCTAGAATGGATGCATAAATTGTCAATTTTGTTAGGCGCCATTGACATCGTTTTCGAAAAAGCCAAACGGGGATTGTGGTGTCCCAAACAGTAGTTGTGTTTGCATAGTCGTACGCCAATTAATCGCAGTCTTAATTTTATGCAGTGTACAGCATGCCCTGATATATCTTGGAAATATGTCCCCGATGTTAGAATAGTGGATTGGGAAAAACTATTCTCTGATTTTCGTGGTGAACTTCGGAATCGTGACCTTTAACTCTTTGTTGCATATCCGTTACCTAGTGCTTAAAGCGATGTGAACGTCGTCATTAGAACTGTGCGCATAATGGTTTACGATTTCTGACTTCTGGTTCGAAGCGGCGAGTAGACCTTGCTCTGTGTAGCTGCATCGTTCGTCGGTCTTGGACATATACGCGTTATGTTGTTTTCCGGTCTATATATTTTGCGTCCGCAAAGTGTTTGTTAAGGCGCTTCTTAAATTCCGACGCTGAGTTTGCCTCTACTTTGTGCTGCGGCATGTTGTTTCATACATTCACCACTCTGCGTTCGAAACAGATTTGGTGAGCGACCCGCTTCAAATCCGGTACGATAAGTTTATACTGGTGTCTTCGCGTGCTGCTTGGTCTGCGCAGATGAAGCAGTGGTCTCAACATGGGGTAATCACCCAGATGCAGTATCCGGTGCGTCATGATGAGGTCAACCCTCATTCGACGATAAGCTAGGGTGTACAGCCCTAGTTTCTTACATCGGTCTTCGTATGGCACACCTCTTAACTTGGGAATCAACCTGGTGGCTACATGCTGTACACGCCCAAGCTTTTCTATCTCGCCTCGGCTGATCGGACAATATGCAGGAGAACCGTGCTCTAGCATTGGTCGTATTATTGAGACGAAGAGGCGAGTGGCAATCTCTTCGGACCAAGTGCTGAAGCTGCGC